ATTCCCAACAAGTGACGTTTCTCCTAGCTTTAGTTCGAATAAAAGGTATTGTTAGCAAAAACAGTTGCATTGGTTTCTTCAATAAAATGAAGCTGAGAGTGAACTGTGCCTCCCAAAATTTTCACATAAGTTTCTAAGATCTTCTGTTTATACATTTGAGCGGTCAAAAAAACCTCTTCAAATACATGAAGTATTGTGCAAACATCTATGATGCCTGCCAAACCATAACACTTTCACACAAATAATAACAACTTTCCCTGATGTTGGAAGAGTAATACAAGGTCCCAGGTGTTCTTCAGATGAAGCTTTACTAGACTCAGTTTTTTGATTGAATCTAAATTCACTACTGAAGAGAAATTAGATACACTGTTCTTTGGATTAGTACATGTTTGTAAATTTCTGTACAGTCTGTAAAGTTTTATCTTTGTAAAATGTAGTTATAATGTTTACTATTGTAAGTGTATGTTCTGATGAAAAGTAATTTGGGTGTCTGAAGTCATGTAATAATTATGTAATTATGCCCTGAGCCACAACGGCTATAATATCTTACAGTGTTATTTGATGTATCTCCTAAAGCTAGATGTGCTGAGACACAGTACCACCTAACCTCTTTCTAGAATGATAGTGTTTCCGTCTCCCGTTAACTGTCAACTGTTTATTTGGGCCCAAGACTGACGTTTTCCCTATGTTCAAATACTCTGTCTCGTGATAAAGCGAGAGAGGGTTGCAAATAGAGAGTATTCTGGTAAAACATCTTTTCAAACAAATTCTTCGGAGAAACTTTTAAAATTAATGAAAGTTGAAATTGCAACGTAGGTCTTGCGAAAAATTATGCGGCTGTAGCAGACATCTGGAGCCTGGCTGAAAGTGTCCAATTGTGCTTTTCGGTGGACGCCGTGGTTCTTGAATGACATTTATGAAGGCAGCCCCGTAGCCTCTGAAGCCTCTCAACCCCGTAGCCTTTGAAGCAGTTTTATGAGATTTCTGAATACATTTTAATTATGTATTTGTTCCAAATACGATGCTTATAGTTTTAGAAACATAATGATAAAGAGTAAATTACTGTAAGCAACAGCAGTTGAAGAGGGAGGATATAAGGTTGGGGCTTTGTTTTTGTCATTGTATGTTTATACGTCAGAACTCGCAAGTAAGGTAATATGGGGGAAATTTCCATATTCATATGGTCACTAAATTTAGTCTGCCAATCGATAGCTGGCGGCATCTCAGTATACTGAAGTTTGCGATGAAAGTTACTTAGTGATTAATTCAGCGTACTCGAATTACTTGAAATAAATTCTAAAAATACCTGAAATAAATATTAAAATGAATCTACATCTCCGATATTGTATTGCATGACTTTGTAAGATTTATCTTAATTTATCTAACAGTTAATTTTTAGTTATAAGTTCCTTTTCCGTCTTTCCTTAATTTCAGCTTACATCTTCCGGCTAGAACGTATTTTCAGAATTGCAGTTGAATGCAAATGAGGAGAAGAAGTATTTTACTGTGAAGTTCTACTGACTTCGTTAGAGAGCCTGAGATTCTGATCAGCGCGTTAGTCTTTTGGCGATACTTTCTCAGAAGCTACTTTTACGATCGGCCGTACAATAGGCCCTTGATAACTTCGCCGTTAGTTAGCGTTAAGGGGTCAACTCTGTTAGAATCTTGATAGCTTCGGCTATATCTTTTTAGTTAAGATTAGTTTAGTTCTTAGCTTCAAGCCTGAGAGGAGGCTTTATTGTAAAACTCCAAGAAGGAGTCTTTTGTGAACTTTATTTGGAATAATAAAGGGTACTTAGCCCTGTAGAAATATTAGGTATTTTTTTGGAAGCAGGCAAAATGAAAATATGCAACGCCTTTCCCGGGAGTCGAACCGGTGACCTCTCAATTACGCCCTGAGCGTGCAGACCACCACACCACGAAGGCATACCAAGAAGGGGGAGAAATACCTTATATATTTCCCGTTTTTAAAGGGCGACTGGGGTTTTTAGGGGACCCAATCGCCAAATCCTGGGTGAGGAAAATCACCATCCAACACCCTTTTAGTTCAGGCGCTACTGTAGAGATATTAGGTAATTTTTGGAAGCAGGTAAGATGGAAAATATGCAACGCCTTCGCCGGGAGTCGAACCACGGACCTCTCAAATACGCGCTGAGCGTGTACACCACCACACCACGAAGACATGCCAAGAAGGTGGGAGAAATACCTTATAACCCCTCTCGAATCCTGTTCTCTGCCTACCAAACTAAAGCGATTATTCTCTTACCTGTTCTTAAGGTTCCTCAACTTTAGCTGTAAATTAAAAAGACAGGAATCTTACTACTTCATATTTATAAGCTGTGATTCAGTACTTTTAGAAAAATTCGGAAAAAACATGCTTATTTTTTTATTTTGAACATCATCTACAGTATAAAATTTAAAATAGCTGTTCGTGAGTTCAAATTAAAAAAATAACCTGCTGGCCACAGTAAACACAACGCCCTGAAGGAAGCATGCAAATAACATGAAATTTGCAACATGCATTAGTGGAGGTAAGATATGCATATGATTAGAATTTCAGCGCAGACGCACATGACGCGCGCCTGTGGCGCCACTTAAAAGCGCTATGTAAGGCTTGGAGTTTTTGACAATTTCAAATTCTGCAATTGTGTTTTTCTTGTGGTTTTTTTTCAAAAAAAAAAAAAAAAAAAAAAAAAAAAAAAAAAAAAAAAGATCAATTATACCTTGTAGTAAACAGCGATCATCGTTTGATCAAGTATTCGAGTTCGACAGAGGAAGGATAGTGGCCTACCGAGAGTGTGGATTATCTTTCAAGGAAATCGGTAGTCGTGTTGGGCGAAACCAAACAACTGTAATGCGGATATGTGACGTTGGATGCAGGAGAGTACCCCGGACCGACGTGTTCGATCGCATCCACCTCAGTGCACCACTTCACGTGATGACAGGAACACTGTGCGCATGGCAGTGACGGATCGCTCAGTCACATCACGAACCATAGCACAGCACATTCAGTCTGTAACGCATCATCCAGTGTCTGTGCGTATCATTCGACGTCGTTTATAGTAGAGTGGTCTGTCCGCAAGACGTTCATTGCTTCGTCTACCCTTGACGCAGAACCATACATGTCTCCGCCGCCAATGGTGCGATGAAAGAAGGATGCAGACGGTAGAATGGAAGGAAGTCTTTACTGACGAGTCCTGCTTCTGTCTGCAACACCACGATGGTCGGATTCGAGTCTGGAGACACCGTGGAGAGAGGATGCTGAACAGCTGCGTTATGAACCGCCAACTATGGTATGGGGAGGTATTGGATATCACTCTCGCACTCCTCTAATACGCATTGCCGGTACTTTAAACAGCCAGCGCTACATCTCCGAGGTGCTGGAGCCAGTTGTCCTTCCTTATCTTCAGGGTTTGTCCACAGTCATATTTCAACAGGATAATGCGCGGCCGCACGTGGCACGCATTGTCCAAGAGTTCTTCGTCAATCGCCAGATTGAATTGCTTCCCTGGCCGGCTCGCTCTCTGGATCTTTCGCCGAATAGAAAACGTGGTCCATGGTTTCTGAACAATTGACCCAGATTACGTCCCAAGCTTGCTGCACCAGATCCAACTTTGGCAACGTGTAGGAAGCTGCTTGGTCTACTGTACCCCATGAACACATTCCAAAGTCTCTTTGAATCAATGCCGAGGCGTATGTGGCAGCAGGTGATCTCCAACAATGGGCGGCTGCTCTGGCCACTGATTCTGGAAGGAACCACACTTCACAGAAGTCTATAAATTTAATCATTTGATATCTTCTAAATATGAAAGAAGATTCTTAAATATTCAGCAAACGAAATCTAAATTTACTTCATTTATTTATTTACTTTTCTTTTGCTAAAATTGCTTTGATTTTGTTAAAAATGCTTGACTCGTCACTGCTTTTATATCAAGTATTCGACTCGCACAATTTGACTTTTGAGGACTTTACTCTGAACTATCTTGCTACCAGAATTTGAGATTACCTTTATTTTTCAATTCACCACGATTATTCACCTTATTCCGCGATCTAGACCTAGGTAACACTCACTCTGCCGCAATGTTCTTATAAAAATTCAAAATAATTTTGAGCAAAAACTGATTATCATCCATGAATACCGCTTTTTCTCATTCCTACACTTACGAGCAGGATTTCTGGTTCTACATCTCGACTTATTTGCAGATGTAGAACTTTCACATGACTTTCACATTTATAAGCTGTGATTAATTATTTTTAGAAAAATCTGAAGAAACATGCTTATTTTTTTATTTTGAGCATCACTTACTGTACGACAGATACATTATTACAAAACTTTTTTCTTTAATTTTCGGACGAAATACTAATTTTCGACGATAGTTTCTAAGTAAGTAACTTATTATTGAATAATTTTGTTGTGATATCTCTGGTCTTTTCTTGGTGTTGCAATTTGGGTGGCAGCAGTGTACAACCAATAGAATTTTTCTTGGAGTTAGCCTTTACACTTCTAGAACTAAAAAACAATTTGAATTTTGCCATGCGTTTTCATAAATATTCAGCAAACGAAATCTAAATTTACTTCATTTATTTATTTACTTTTCTTTTGCTAAAATTGCTTTTGAATTTTGTTAAAAAAGTGCTTTGACTCGTCAGCTGCTTTTATATCAAGTATTCGACTCGCAGCAATTTGACTTTTGAGGACTTTACTCTGAACTATCTGCAACCAGAATTTGAGATTACCTTATTTTCAATTCACCAACGATTATTCACCTTATTCCGCGATCTAGACATAGGTAACAACTCACTCTGCGCATGTTCTTATAAAATTCAAATAATTTTGAAGCAAAAACTGATTATCATCCATGAATACCGCTTTCTCAGTGCTACACGTACGAGCAGGATTTCTGGTTCTACATCTGCGACATTATATTGCAGATGTAGAACTTTCACATGACTTTCACATTTATAAGCTGTGATTAATTATTTTTAGAAAAATCTGAAAGAAACATGCTTATACTTTTTATTTTGAGCATCACTTACTGTACGACAGATACATTTATTACAAAAACTTTTTTCTTTTAATTTTCGGACGAAATACTAATTTTCGACGATAGTTCTAAGTAAGTAACTATATTATTGAATAAATTTTGTTGTGATATCTCTGGTCTTTCTTGGTGTTGCAATTTGGGTGGCCAGCAGTGTACAACCAATAGAAATTTCTTGGAGTTAGCCTTTACACTTCAGATAGAACTAAAAAACAATTTGAATTTTGCCATGCGTAGTTTCATAAATATTCAGCAAACGAAATCTAAAATTTACTTCATTTATTTATTTACTTTTCTTTTGCTAAAATTGCTTTTGAATTTTGTTAAAAAAGTGCTTTGACTCGTCAGCTGCTTTTATATCAAGTATTCGACTCGCAGCAATTTGACTTTTGAGGACTTTACTCTGAACTATCTTGCAACCAGAATTTGAGATTACCTTTATTTTCAATTCACCAACGATTATTCACCTTATTCCGCGATCTAGACATAGGTAACAACTCACTCTGCCGCAATGTTCTTATAAAAATTCAAAATAATTTTGAAGCAAAAACTGATTATCATCCATGAATACCGCTTTCTCAGTGCTACACGTACGAGCAGGGATTTCTGGTTCTACATCTGCGACATTATATTGCAGATGTAGAACTTTCACATGACTTTCACATTTATAAGCTGTGATTAATTATTTTTAGAAAAATCTGAAAGAAACATGCTTATACTTTTTATTTTGAGCATCACTTACTGTACGACAGATACATTTATTACAAAAACTTTTTTCTTTTAATTTTCGGACGAAATACTAATTTTCGACGATAGTTCTAAGTAAGTAACTATATTATTGAATACAGATTCTGTGTATATTTCTTGGGAATAGTATTTGCATGGATAATAAGGAATATTCTCCATTTCCAAGCAAATGATTTTATTAATTTGTGTGCGTAATTACGATAGCATCCAAACCGCAACTCGTACATGAAGATTTAATTTATTGAGAAGTATTCTTGAATTATTTACGAATCATTTTGACCATTAGTAATACCTTTTTTTCCTGTTTTAAATGTCCGAGCTTTTTTGTGATAAAAGCTGCTTTATATGATAAATTTTGAACATTAATGGCCAGCATGCAGAAAGAGGTGTTTCCTGATCTTGTTTATTTTGAATCTTGACAAAATTAGTCAAGCCATACCCAGAATAGCTTTGCTGTGAAGATCATAAGCAATATCTGGTGATAACTGTATGGCCTGCAAAGAAAATATCATATAGTTACATAACAATATGTGTTGCATTCGACAAAATTTTAGCACACAAAGCTTATGAAATTATTTAGTTAAAATTAAACTACTAAATTTCATTTAATACATTTTGTAATACTACTAAACACATTTTGTATTACTTCTGTTAAACTACATTTTCTATTTTATAAAAAATGTAGGGTAATAAAAATATGCAATATCGTTTTAATTATAAAAGAATAATTAAATTGTAGAATTGTTCGAAAATATTCTGAAGGGAATACAGAACTTCAAAAATCTTTCTTTAATTCACTGTTCTGTGATGTTAAGCATTCCTTGAAGGTGATATGGACAAATTTAAAAAGTATTTAAAAATGGTACAATTAAACGCTTGGTATGTAGAGACATTAGGTATTTTTTTAAAGCAGAAAAGGTAAAAAATGAGCATCATCCTCGCAGGAACCACGGACCTCTCTGAAATACGTCCCCCCCCAGCGTGCTGACCACTACACTACGAAGGCCTGCTAAGGAGGCGGGAGAAATACCTTATATACTCCTCCTTTTAAAGGGCGATCAGGGTTATTAGGGGACCCAATCACCAAATCCTGGGTGTGGATAATCATCATCCACCACCCTTTTAATTCGGGCGCCACTATAGAAACATTACAATATTTTTTTGGAAGCATGAACAATGAAAAATGAGCAATACCCTAGCCCCGAATCGAACCACGGACCTCCCGAAATCGCATCGAGCGTGCTTACAGCTACACTACGAAGGCCTGTTAAGAAGGCGGGAGAAATACCTTATAGGTAAACTGATAGGTTCAACGTCGTACTTCATATTAGTCTGTTAATATTTCATTAAAAGCAATTGTAAATATGCAATGTTGTGTTATTATTATGAATTCTGTATGGGTTAGTATGCTTGAGTTGTTATTATGAATTCTGTATGTGTTAGTATGCTTGAGTTATTATTATGAATTCTGCACTGCTAACAAAATCATTATGCATATACCAGCGACCGAGCGTTAAAGTCGCTAAATCCTGGTGGATAGGTTGGCTGCATGTTTTTTTTTTTTTTTTTTTTTTTTTTGTTCTCTCCATGTGTAAAGTCAGTTCCCTTAGAAAGTCCTCCACGAACCCATCCCTTCCCTTAGGCAAATAGCGCTAGTGTACTTTACCATAATCAAATACACCAAACCAGCTTTGACGGTAATTTGGCGGTTTTAAAAAAGTGGGCGAATTCCCCCCCCCCACTTATCATGCAGTTGCTAACAGTAATGACTGTTTAAAGCAAAACATTTAATCCTTAACTGTTGATGGTCCATGATCTTAAATGCTGATGAGATCGGATTTCTAAATCAATCATAAATTTAATTGAATTGAATATAATCATACGCCAAGTTAGAAAGAATAATTTTTCTACGTTTAGAGGTAGGAATAGTTAGCTTTGTTTCTTTTCAGTGTTCTGTATATTAAAAGGTATAAAATAAAGAAAAACCTTTTTGAATTGCGCAGTTTTTAATCAATGCACTAAAAAGAAAAAAAAAAAAAAGAGTTTTTTTATGGTATATGATTAAACATGAAATCATAATTATTCCATATACGAATTATATTGGAACATAAATATAATTTCAAAGAATAACAGAAGTGATAATATAAAAATAACATATATAAGACTTCAATTTGCTTCAGTTTCTCTTTGGAATATTTTTGTTTGAAATTAAACATTGCTATTTTCCTCATAATGTTACTTCTAGATTTGGTTTGGTTTGGTTTATTTAATTACGGCAAAGCACACTAGGGTTATCTGTCTAAGGGGAGGGATGCCTTCGTGGAGGTCTTTCTAAGCCTTACTTCTAGACACATATGATCAAGAATGTTACAATAGCCACAGAAATTACATTTTACCTTTCAGAGCGTTTTCTTCAAACATATAATTAAAAACTGTTTTTATATATTGTATTTTCCACCTTAATACTGAACTTTTAATTTCAGTGGAAGCCTTAGCAATGAGATTTTTGTTACATTAAATTTACAAGTTTATATCAAACAAGATAATTTTTTTGTTTTTGTTTTATTTGTTTGTTTTTATTTGCAATATCAGTTTGGGAACTTTTGCAAGAAATATGCAGGGATAACCTGCAAAATGAATAATCAGAGAATGAATGATAAAGAGTTTATTATACTTATAAGTTTACATACTGTCATTTAGTTTATTTTGGGGGGATATGACATCTTTTTCTGTAACATATTTTTGAGTGTCGCATTTATGCTCTGGCTATAAGATAAATTATGGTAAAAATTACAAAGTACCTTCTTTATTATACTAGCTGCTTATGCAACCAGCAGTCTAAAATAGTTATTATGAAGGAGGAAAATACATACAATGATTTTAGTGAATCCAACTAATGTCATTTCACGAGTCCAGCTACTAATAAAAAATAATCTGCTTTTATCGCTTTTAAATCGCTTTGTTTACTTATTAATAGCAGAATAAATTTGAAAGAAATATGAAATACTATCTTATGCTTTGCCGAACGACAGTCCACTGTGTGAAAGATAAAAGTATTTTAATTCGAGCAGTGGCAACACATTCTTTTCAGATCTCTGAATTTGTTTATTTAATTCGAAAGATAAATATTTTGCGTTTTACCCAGTGCTAACAAACTTCTTTTATATTGCTGAGTCTTCTCATAAAATTGGAAACAAATGTATTACGCTTTGCCGAGCTGCAACACAAAGCTTTGACATTGCTGAGTTTTAAACAAAAGTTCCTTAGATTCCCACAAAATCTGGAATAAATAAAAGATAAATTCAAAATTCGGGATACGACTAACTCGTGTGAAACACTACATGTATTCAAAATTTTGCGGCTCCAGGTGCCACTGTTTTTCTCCAAATAGGATTAAATTCCGAAGATTAATATATTGCATTTTACTAGGTAGCAACACACTTCTTATTCCTGAATTCCATTTCTTATCCCTTTATATCCCTGAAATTCTTAATTAAATTTGATGGGTAAATATCTTACGCTTTTCAGAGTGGCAGTATAAAGCTTTTAAATAGCTTACTAAGATAAAAAGTTCATTAAATTTACACAAAATACGAAAAAAATTAAAAGCAAAAACGAAATTTAAAATTCATTCATTCGTTTTGAAAATGATGTTATCAAACTTTTGAAGCGATTATATGCTCAGCAAAAGAATTCCATTTTACGAATCTCACATCCGATTTAGGGAATAACCACAGTATTATTATTATGTTTGTCATTGTTAAATAACAAATAAATTGTTAATAAAATGTACTCACTTTTTTAATGAGCTCCTTAGCAGTTTGTATATTTTGAGCTATTTCTAAACCTTGCTGCATACATAGTGCCAGATAAAAGCAACCAAGTGCGATACCTTGTTTCACATGTTCGAGTGGGCATTCACGCTCTCTAGCAAGACTTTCTAAATCTTCTTCCGATGCCAATCTGAAAATTAAAAATGAAAATTTTCGTGTTGCATTTTCTTTCAAGTTTCAGTTTGAAAAGAAACATATAAAACAAGAAGTCTAAGAGCTGTCGCATTTAAGAATAAAAATACACGGGAGAAAATTTCAAGATATTTTCTTCAGGCATGACAATATTTTACAACCTCAAATTTAGAGTCATGACAGGAGAAAATTTATTAATATTGAACAAGTGGAAAGGAATAATCCTTGGCAGAGTAACTATGATAAAAAATTATTATACATGCATGAAAAGAAAAGTATAATCTGATATATTAAAAGTGAAAGCATGCCAATAGGCATAATTTTAAGAAGCAGAAAATTTTCTCCACGAATAATAGACACGAAATGTAATCACATGGTTAAAGAACATTTATTATATCTTAGATTCTTAATTTTAATATTTTAGCCAAGATCAACGAAATGTAAAAATAAATCGAAGCAAAACAGCAAAAATAGTTTTCTAATAAGATTCTAATCTAAATAAGATTCTTATGAAGGCTTTATATAAATTCTTTGAGAAAATTAAAAAAGCATAAGTAAACTCTTGAGAAAATTGGTACTAAATTTATTGGTGATTAAACTAAACTTACTCTCTTCCTAATGTCACTGTTCTGTGATACATTTGGCGACGGTAGCAAAATGCTGCTAAGTGGCCTTTGGCAAAAATGTTTCCTTTTATAGTGGCATTGACTAGGTATACATAAGCGAGTTCCAACTTGACTTCTGTTCCTATTCCATGCATATACATCACACCTAAAGCTCCTGTAATTAATTAATAGTACAGCTTACTTTTAAATATTTAAGTTTTAGTGATACAGTTAGGGACAAAGAAGCATTCAGTTAATATTATTACGAACTGTACGCACGAAAGAAAAGAAGACTTTTTTTTTTTCCCCACATCAATCAGTCTTGTTTATACTGATGTGGACTGCAAAAACAACAGAAGTAGAAATTACGTATTTCTCTGTCAAAACTTCCAGTTTAAGACCTGCAATGTAGCACGTAAAATATATTCATGCATATCATATATATACATCCTCAATCACATGTAAATGCACATTTTTGGCATGCATATCAACTACTATAATTTTTTAAAATATTAGAAATTTTTTAGAAAGGAAGAAAAATTATTTTTACTTAGGATGATCGATATTTGTTGCGGGTTTATGCAAAAAATTATTTTTAAATAAATAAAATAGTTTGTTAGACGAATATATCTTTGACTATATTCCCTTTGTAATTTTAAATAATTAATTTAAAATTTAAAGTATATATTAAAAACTCAACGGTCTTTCAATAAATAAATAAATAAATAGATAAATAAATGTTATTATCATGGATCACTGATTTTAGGTTGTTTAATCGGTAGCTAATAATTATTACCTTTTTTAATTTCGACTAAAACCTGTCTATACTGTCTTGGTATGAGGGTAATTTATTTTGTTAATAAATTATCCTTCTTCTTCTTCTTTTTTTTAGTGCTTTGACTGAAAACTGATATATGATAGCATTTTAAATATTTGGGTAAATTACATTCGTAGTTTTTGAAACATCTGAAACCATATTCTAGTTTATTTCTGAAAAACTAAAATCTGTCACTTTAAACAACATTGATTTAGGGAACTTTCCTTACCCTCTGAGACATCGCTTCCTGATTCGGATGCTTTTTTATGCCAGTAAAAAGCTTTCTTTGCGTTCTTAAAAAGTGGGTTTGAATAGAACATCCCTAGAGCTGTTTGACACTGTACTGAGCCATAATAATGAAACCCAGTTTCAGGATCTTTCTGTAAGACTGCTCCTCGAACCCAACATCTGTGAAAAATAAAATAATGACATCAGGTAGAATGACCTGTTATATTAATCCTGCAGTTTAAAAGATTTCAGGAATTCATACTTTCAAGAGGATAAAAATTAATACTTATTTGAAGAACATTTAACATTTTCTGAATGAAAAATCAATAAGACATTTTTGAAAATAGCAAATAATCATTTTCATTGTCCAGTTTATATTTTACTTTCAAGAGCATCAAATATCTTGTCACTGTTAGTAAACTACTGCATACTTTTATATTCGTTTTCGATGGAGAATGGCTTTTGGATATGCTTTCTGCCTATTTGGACGTCTTGGAATTTTGTAATTACATGGCTTCGGAATGTTTTTTGTTACAAACTCAGACGCTATTTACTTTGCTATTGTAAGGATTATGTTAATTTTAATAACAGTTAAATTGTGAGTTAAAGTTCCTTTCCTATCAATTCTTAACTTCAACTTACCACTTCAGGCCAGAACGTCGTGTTAGAATCACGTTTGAATGCATAATGAGGAAGAGAGGTATTTAACAGCGAAGTTCTTCGGTCTTAGAGAGAGAAATACCAGGTATTCTGGCTGCACGCGTCCGCCGTTTTAGGCTACTCTTTCGTAAGCTATTATTACACTCGGCGGCACTTTAGGCCCTTGATAGCTTCGCAGTCTATTAAAGAAGCCAACTCCGTTAGAATTTTGATAGCTTCAGCCATACCTCTTTACTTTATATTAATTTAGTAATATTCTTAGTCTCTTAAGTCAAAGCCCAAGTGTCGGCTTTATTGTACACTCCAAGACGGAGTTTTCTTAAACCTTAGTTGAAATAATAAAGGGTTAGTTACTCTTCTATCTTGTTTCCTGTCACACGAACTCATGCGATTATTCGCTTATCAGTTCTTAAGATTCTTCACTTCCAACAGTAACTTAGTAATTTCAAAGTGAGGAACGATATACACTATGAGCAAAGATGTGAACTTCAATCTTCCTTAGGACTCTCTCCGTTAAATTCTAATTTTTATCAGGCATTTTTTATAAGCTTATTAATGAATTTTTCCTCTCCCCCCGAAAAAATTTTTTTTGATACTTTATTGAATATCTATATATGTAGATTACGATATAAATTACCACGAACCTACTACATGCATTTTATTTAAATAGAAGACTATTATTCTCGGGTTTCGTATTTGTTGTTTCATATTTCACAGAAACAGCGTATGCTGCATCTAGGAAAATTATGCAAAGATAAATAGAAATATCAAAATTTGCTTTCGTAAAAACAACCTTTGGATACCTTAAGAATGGATGAAAGAAAACTACAATTCAGAAATAACAAGAGAGTACTTTTATCGATGCAGTTGGTACAGAATAGATAGGTTAGGTTCTTCATATACTGGAAATTCTTTGGACTAATCGAGAGAATTTATTGTGTAAGGTCCCACCAACGGCCGAGCGCGAAACTCGCTGAACACTGGTAGTTCGCTGCGAGGTTCGAACCCCGCGAACGGGCTGGCTGCGTGGGCTCTTTCGTGGTTTTCTCCATGTGTAACATATATACGAGCCAGTTTCCCTTACGAAGTCCTCCACGAAGGCATCCCTCCGATTAGACAAATAGCCCTCAAGGCTTTGCCGTAATTACATAATCCAAACCATGTATGTAAGAATGTTTGTTTCGTCCTTCACAATGTAATTTTGCGCAGTGAGGAACAAACTAAAGGTTAGATTACCAAAATTCAAAGATTTTATTCACTTATCTGAAAACTAAGCAGGAACAGGAAAGCACAAATTTTTTAACGGGTTTGATAGTGTGAATTTTCAAGTTTTTTGACCCGTTCGAACACTGTTTAAAAATTACCGTCTACTCACAGAAGAAGTGTATCACTTAGATATTAGTAATTGAAACTATTTTGTTGGACAAAAAATTAATACACGGAAGAAAGCATTGAACCGAATATCGATAATACCTCCTCCCCATTTCAAATGCCTTTGTGGAAACCATATCTGCTATGTGCGCAACTTAAAAGCTACCAAATATATTTAGATATTTTACTAGTTATTTCTTAACATTTAATTTAAATGAAACAAATTTACTTTAATAGTTGCCAAATGTATTAAGATATTTTACAAGCTATTTCTTAACATTGCAGTTAAATGAAACAAATTTACTTTTCTTTATTTTAAAGTATTATGTTAGACCATTTATATTTTTACCAAACTGTTCAATATCAAGCAGACGTATGTCATATACTCTTACATATAAAACTTTTCTTTTTCTTGTTTAAGACATTTTAACAACCACCCGGACGGTATTGTGGTTAGAGAAGCCTACTGCGGTGCCGAAGGGTCCGGGTTCGAGTCCATGTGCGTTTTTAATTGTAAAGTGTCAGTGCGGCATGAGGCACTCTAAACATAAGGCAAACCGAAAGTCCTCTGGAGAGGTTGATGGTAAGGAAAGAGGGGTGGGAGACCCTAGGACCCCGGGGTGGTGCTTAAGGCTCTTGCCAAAGACAGGTGCAGTCTCGCATTCCTTTTCCCGATGAATTTCGTGGGCTTGTTCTGACGGTTAGTTAACAACAACCGTCAAGTTACAGTTACAAGAGACAAGTTAGGTAAGTCACACACACACACGTTTTAACATCCAAGGTCATCTTATGCGAGATGATCACCTTATGTCCGAGCTGACATATAAAGATTTAAAAAATATCTTTAAATACCGAGAAAAATATTAATTTTTTTCAGATAAATACCAAAAAAAGTATATTTTATATTGTTTTTGAATTACTGCTCCAACCGCAAATATCTACAATCCGAAAATCCTGCTTTAAGTCAAAAACAGATAATTATGAGATTTTAACTCTTAGGATCAGAACTAGAGGAAGAACTCTTCCGGATGAGAGGAAATGCTTCCTGTCATTTTTGTCGGTTGTTCGTGTTTCCAAAAAGACAAAAATAATTATTTTTCACATAAAATACACCAAGTCTCTTCCTTACCGCTCTGCCTTATGTCATTGTACGATTTATTTTGTACTTTGCTGCTCGTTAAAGCGGTTAAAGGATGATACATTTATAAAAAAAATTATGAGATGTTAATAATTATCCAGTCATTTAATCATGGCACTAGGCAGCTGACTATAATTTCTTCTGAATTGCCAATCGGGTAGTTAGTAATAAATTAAAGAGGAGGTAAGTCAATATTCTGTTCAGTTAGTTCCGTATTTTGACTGAATAAACCCATATTTGCTTCACGCGTTTTCGTTAGCAATGCATTAAGGTATTATCGAAATCTTATAACGTATACCACGTTTTATATCGCAATACTTTTCTATTCGGAAATAAGCCATTACTGATTCGAAATAAATCTACTTATTAAAAAAATGAAATGTTGGTAACTACTACTTTTAGTTAGCTATTAAATTATTATTATAAGTGACTAAATGGTCTTATAAGTAGACGGAACAATTAGGATACGATCATAGAATAGTGCAAAAAATTATAAAATTTAATGGAACTGAAAAAATTTAATGGGTTATTAAATTAACTAATGGAATCCTTTTCATATGTGTATTATTAAGTATTTATTGTCATTTTCATATATAAAAAGGTGATAGTGGCGTCATCTAAGAAAGAGATAACTAACTAAAAGTAGTAGATCGCAAACTGCATTATTACCGAAATGTATACATACACGGTTCTTTATACAGCAGGGTATTTTGATAGGATTTGAAGGACTGATCGCAGATTTGTGTTTCCAGTTTAAGGAAGGAATCAAATATGGCCATCAGAACGATGTTTTATATAATCGGAGCGATAAAAGAAGTAATTTATCCTTATATAATAAAAATTATCCAAATTAATTAATTAAATTTTTTTGAGACAGATAAAAAAATTTTTTAGAAGAACATTTGCTCATAAAAGTTTTCGTACGCAAATTTTTAAGATTTCCAGACAATCATCTATACAAAAGTAAAACTTTTAATTTCCTGTTTCAAGATATGCTGATATTCTAATTTTTTTTTTGTTTAATATAATTCAAGGTTATACAGCCATCGGAATAATACTTTCTTTTTAACTATTAAAAATTTTCTTAAATTGAATAATTTTGATAATTTTTCAAGAAAGCTTTTTTTGTAACGAAGAACGTTTCCTTTACACATTTGGGGGGGGTATGGTTTTGAAATTGTAGATTTTAATCTAACTGCTCAAAGAATAATAATAAATGTAATGTTAAAAAGCATGAAAAATTGTACAAATGTTGAACTTCTTTTTCTTAAATGAAAGTAATATCTGCTGTTGCGAACTCATAAAATTAAATTTCAGTCCTTGAGTAAATATAAAACTCAACTGAAAAAGAGAACAAAATGCTGCAAAAGAATTAAGAAGTGACCTTTTTTTTTTTTTTTTTTTTTTTTGCTTTGCGCAAAAATTAAAAATTTCTCATAAATACACATTTTGATAATTAACAGATATCTTTTATTAATTCTTGAATTATAAATTTGTCACATGATGAAATAATTCGCAATTATTAGTCCAAAGATGCAATTTGCCCAAAATGACTATTAATTTCGTTTTGGCATTTTGCTTCGATTCACGATAAGAGGTTGATTTATCAACCAAAAGTCTTTCTAGAGGCATGTGATAAACATTCCTGTGATTTCAGTCTTTCATTTAAAATCTACTACTACGATTTCCTTCCGCTAGATGTCACTACTGAAAAAGACGATTTAGTCGTAATTCTATTTAGCACTTTACAGCCTTTTGTTGAGGCGTAATAACACATTCTATTATATGGAGTAATTCAAAAATATTTGTCAAAAAAATTAAACGCAGGTAGAGAGAATTGGAATAAATAGATTTTATAATGGAATGTGTGTAGGAAAATGATCCGTTGAAGTGGTACAAAACATCGTTGAGCAGCAGATAAAAGCATTTTGCTGGTGCAAATCGTCGTTACTGGAGCAGTTTACATCGCTCAGAGCGCGGAATTTCTGAGTATGCATTTTATATATGAGACTGCGGATAGAAATAATGCAGGTAAAATGTTTGCTATGCTGGCCAGTTCGCATTCGTGTAGTGATGTATACGGTCCATATTCCCATCGAGAACGATGTTTTATTCAGAACACTTTTACCAACCGCAAAACAGTGCCTTATACCACCTCAACCCAACATTTTCACCTATATGTTCCATTACGAAATCTGCTTATTTCTATCCTCTTTACCAGCTTGTACACTTTTGGCAGATATTTTTGAATCAGTATTTCTTATGCGTTTATTAATATTTGTTATATAATATGCGTTTATTAAAATGTTTACTAATATTTGTTTGTTAATATTTGATTTTTAAATAATGCAATAGAAATGAAGGTGTGAAGTAAAAGTGAAACAAAGAGAACATTCATTAATCTCCAAATTCGGAGACTCTTAAAAGATACAAATTTTTACAATAAATGAGCAGGAACTAGTGACTTGGAAAGCATTTCTAGAAATGGTGTATGAATTTGTGCAGAGTAATAAGACAGAAAATTACTGCCAACTGTTTCAAGAACTCCTGAGCAACTGGTACAGATAATTTTTGAAAATTCACTTCCTGAATCGCCAGTGGAATTTTGCTTTGAAAACCTAGGGGCTAAGAATAATGAATAAGGGGAAATATTAAAGTTTTTTGTAGAATTCAACCTATACCAAAACAATGGAAAAGGTAAACTAACAAAACGGGCGATTACTATTGTTTTCTGCTTAGAGAAATTGAAAGGTATTACAAGCCAAAGAAGTAACTACAAAAACTAGAAATATATCTAATTTTTGGAATATTTCTGATATGACCTTCATAATATTGAACATTAATTATCCTGATATAGATTAACAGTTTCATTAACAGTTTTAGTGTATTAAATGCGTGATAACTTACGTAATATTTAGCATTGCGGATTAATAACATCAGTTGATAACATGTGTACCCAGCGCTAGTGTTATATGACCAACTTTCATAGATACTAAAGTCTATTAGTGAAACAAATAGAAATATAAGTTAACAAAATTAAAATATATTGCCTCTTCTGTCTTATTCTGGAAACACAAAAATGTTATTTATTGTGAACTGTTATTTTCTTTTGTGCCTGTATTCAGCAGGTCAAATATATTTAAGATTTATTTTCATCAATTCGACAGAAAAAATGTTTCAATTTATTCACTAATGTTATTTATTAATTAGCTGCAAAATTAAACGGAAAAGACAATTTCTGGCGGAAAATTCGAAATCAGGCAGATTTTAACAGAACTTCGGACTACAATCACTTTCTCTTTTTCTTTGATTTTGAATAGACTATCACTTTCTCTTTTTCTCTAATCTTTCTTCTTCTTTTTAATACAATCACTTTCTCTTTTTCTTTGATTTCCCTTATTTCGAGATTTTTAGCTTAGACGTACGTCAGCATTACTAAATGGTAATGGTTCAACCGAATAAAGAATTCCCCTCTGATACGAGAGACAGACGAATTCCGATTTAATGAATATAGAATCAACGTTTTTGTCAGATTAACTTTTCTTTTAGCCAAAGGACGTTAGCCCAGAAGAGCTATTAATTTCGTATCTGGCATTTTGCATCGAAAATTTTAAAAATCTGAATCCCTTTTCAAATCGTTGCCACCAAATATTATCTCCCTGTGTTATATTTAAAGAAATTAGGTAATGAAGAATCTGCATAAATGTATGTATGTTTCTCGCATTGTGATAAAACAACGGTACCTAGAGCCATCCAATTTTTTATAACGTACGTCTCCACCCGAATATGGGCATCTGAAAGCCCAAATTTGGAAATTTGCTTTATTATCTATTTCATATTTTGTAAAGCAGTTATGATTTTTTGATTAAGAAACTCAACAATTTCAAAGCTAGTCATGGCAACATTGTACGGAAACAAAAAAACATTTTATATCCAGCGCGTAGCTTTTGGCAGAAATTTTCGAAATGAAGTGATATCAAGTATCATCAATAACCAATTTTAAAAGTTTTTTTACTTTTACTTAACATGGCTCCACCCTTAAACACTCCGCCCTTACACGGAAAGGGATGAATGCCCCGTGGAGGTCTTTTTAAGGGAAACTGGCTCGTATCCACGTTACACATGGGGAAAACCACGAAAACGCAAATGCAGCCAGCCCATAGCCCGGGACTCGAACCCGCGGACCGAACTACCAGTGTTCAGCGGCTTTTACCACTCGGTCGCTGATGGGCAATTTTAAACGTTCGGCTTGTTTTCCGAAGTGCAGTCGAATGTAATCTATTCGTTACTGCAGAAAGCTATAAATGATGGAACGAAATTTCTGCTAGAAGGAAATAGAATAAATTTCTCATGGTTAATCAGTTTTCACATATTGAAGTAGAACATATTGAACCGTCGTTCTCTGTATAACGTAATGGTAATGAAATGAGCAGTAGATCCTGTATTGAGCATGGATATACAAAGATAAACTGAATATAGAAAATGAAGCATTTAAACATTGCAATATATGTATTAATTAGATAAAATATTATAGAATTAATAGCGACAAAAATGGTAAACTATTTAGTAGGAAGGCATAAATTAAAAACAATCTGAAGGGGGGGGAACTAGAAAAGCAATAGTGAAATGAAAGCAAATTAATACAAAAATTGAAGAATAATTAAATAGTATTTATAAATTTCATTGAATTTTCCAAGGGGTAACGGAAAGAATTATCAGAAAACACATATTTCTGAATTAATTGCAAAAGAAAAATTTTAAAAAAATCGCTTTTAAATTTAATATAAGTGTAATTAAAATAAAAAGTTTAAAAAAAATTTTAAGAATTAAAAAAAGCAATTATTAAAATATAACCTGCCCCCAAATTATGCTGAGAATATGCAAAAAGTAATAATTCAACAATTTAAATAATAACTTAATTGATTTCTTTAATGTGTTCACATTTTTTTCTTAAATATTTTCTTTCAATTTTGTATAAATATCTCATTTAATTAGTTTTATTTTAAGAAAATTTCTTTGATTGTTACGAAGTAAAGGAAATACTGTGAACGCGGAAAAATTCCGGTATTATATTTCAAAGGAGTAACCATTTTGACCATTCCTCAGTCCATTTGGGCGATTTTCTTTCTATGAGATCTGTACGTACGCACAGAATAATGGACTTTTCTTTCCAAAATGGATTCAAAAGGAATTTTTTTCGTGATGTCTCCACGTACGTACATCAGTACGTATGTATGCATTTCGCATAACTCAAAAACGTTTAGTCGTAGAACGTTGAAATTTTGAATATGGGATTGCTATAACATCTAACTGTGCACCTCCCTTTTTTTGCTGCAATTGTGGCAGTATTAAGGATATATAATTCATATACCCATTTCCTTATTCGGCTTACCTAGCCTTCCTTTTCCATTAGTCGTAGTCATGTATTTCCAAGTACAGAAATGTTTTAAAAGACGAAAATATTCATGTTGACAATATCAAATTTAAAAATATATAATTTTCGATAAATAGCGAAATTTAACTTCTCCCGGTTCCTATATCGTATATATATATATCCCGGTTCCTATATATATATATTGGATATATATATATGGTTCCTATATATATATATAAGTTTTATACTATATACGCTATCAAAACATAAAATGATACGAAGTTTGACTCCCGTACGACAAATATTGACCGGGACATATAATTTCAAAATTTTCAATTTTTGATGTCATTTTCAACTTGCCTTGAGGGATCGGTTATTCAATTAGAATAATTCGAGGAAATTAATGAAATGCAGCAAAAAGTGCATATAATTTAATAGATCGTGCAAGGAAGGTACGTGGTGTTCACATCAGATTCTCTGCAATTCTACAGAAATGTGGCTCTGTTGATAATTCTTTCGACTACTTTGTAACAAAATCCAAGAAATTATGAATTATTGTTTAGAACCTAATATTTAATTCTAATTTTGTGTTGTATTAATTTACTCATATTTCAGTTTCGTTTTCCAAGTTTTTGCTTCAAATTGTTTTTAATTTGTAATACACCTTCCAGTTAGATAGTTTACCATTCTTGGTCGATATTAATTTTACAGTATTTATCACTTTTGATTATATACATACAGTATAATATTGTCAGAGTTACAAAAAGTAAAACATTTTCCTATGCAAAAACTGCAACTTGCCAGTACGAATGGTGATAATATTTTAAATCTCGAAAGGCCGTATTTTCAATTGAAATATAATTCAGACAGGAAATAAAGGATAATATACGACATATTTTTAAAACGTACTTTTCAACGCAGTGTATTCGTCTTGAAAGTAATAAATGCTATTTTTATATTTTACTTAGCGTGTGTAATATTAGCCCTCCTTATTTACTTTTAAATTGAATGCAGTACACTAAAATGTTATTAAAAAAAAAAAAAAAAAACATAATATTTTTTATTGTTTTTCTGAATTCTGCTTCAATTGAAAACATGAAATTTAAGATGTTTTCACTCCCCGCGTCGCTTCCACTGTTCGCAAAGGAACACGTTTTAGTTTTGGTAGAGATTCGTAAATCTCGGAAAAGCGTGGCAATATTCACTTTTATCTGCGTCTATATAAATAAAAATCATATCATGTTCCTAACGGTTTCCCATGTAATAAATAATCTCAGTTTAATGAAATTTTTCACTGTCTTGGGAGATTAGTTTCGTCTCGCCTTTCGACTATAGATGCCTGCATACTCGATTACTACTCACCTTTCAGCTTCAACGTCGTCTTTAGCTACAGCAATTCCTCTGTAATAGAGTTCGCCAAGATAATACAATGCTGTAGCCAGTAATGCTTCTTCTCCTGGCCTAAAATCTTCGAATGCAGCCAGTTTTTGTAGATACAGTACAGCTTTTTTCTGGGAAGGTCAATATAATATGTATGAATCTTAAAATGAAAATATGTACACCAGTTTGTTATTAAAATGTTCGAAACCATTGTTATTGACAGTAACAAATTTTAAATCAATACTATGATATTAATGATGTATTTAAACCAAATTTATTAAAACTTCTCGCAGTAAATCCAGAAATCAGCAGATATTATCAATCCAAAAATCTGTCCTGTCACAACCAGAGTAAATAAACCCACTTTGTTGGATGCACACAGAAATCTTTAGGAATCTCAAAAAACCCTTATTTGCAACCACGATCATATTTTTAGTTAGTTTAGGAATTATTCGCATACTTCCGTGTTATAAACGCATTCTACTCCTGTGGCAGTCGGCGCCAGAAAACTCAAAATTTTTCAGGTGTCTTTTGGGTATATTTTTTTCTCCAGGAAAACTAAATTGAACATTCTAAGGTTTAGAATTCTAAAATGCGTAGCAGACATTAAGTGTAAAGTTAGGAAAACCAGTAAATAGGGTTTCATGTAATGAAATTCTGTACCAAAGTACAAAAATCAGAATTACAAAGCTTCATTTAAATGGTTTCAATTCAGGAATAAGTGTTTTAGTTCACACTTATTCTTGAACGACTTTTTTGAAGCTTAATGATGTTAACATTTTAAGGGTTTTTTTAAATGTATTATTGATTATTAAGTAAAAATATAATATAGTTCGCAAGATAGTAATGCGATGCAAAGTTAAATCTTCCTTAAATATGATTTCGGAAGAGTTATAAAAAGATCGGTGAGTGAGATCTGGAACTAAGTTCTGTGGAATGCCGATAAGTACTACCGAAATAGAGGTAAACAAATTAGAAAGAAAATCAATTTATGTTATTCTCTAAAAGATCCTGGATCCAATTGTAAACATAAAGGTCAGTAAAAAAACAATCTCGTAGTTTCTTTTTATTTCATTTCATAGGACAAAAGGTAAATCAGACAAAAGGGGCCTTATTTGTTTCAAATTTCTTTTATACATTCAAGAGGAATTTTATTTCTAAGACATGTAGTCACACTGTTCTCTTAAATTTTACTCAGACCTTTGAAATCTATTTGAAAATATCTTCAGCTTTTGCAATAATATTTTCTTTAAGCCCTCATATTTAGTTATCTGGAATACGACAGTTATGACGCACTTGAATACATAGTACTTTCCATAGTTACAAATTTCACAGACGGGGTTTTGAGACGGATTAAATTTCTAACAAATTTCTCACTTTCAAAAGATTCAAACGACTTCAAGATGCGTTGAATCTGATTTAAGTGATGAACTCAAAGGAATTTCAGTACATAATAGCTGTGCAATACAAAGGTGAATGTCAGTTTTGGTTATTGATAGAAAAAGGGCGCATAATTCCAAACATCATGAATACCATGAGCATTAGTTTTCTTTTAATGGAAAACATATATTCAATGAAAATACTTTAAGTACTGTAATTAGTTATACGTCACATTAATCTCTGAAATAAATAAAATAGGCTAAAAGTATTATATTGCAAAATTTGTTTTCTCGTAACCTATATTTTATTCTAAACATATTTGCGAGTAGAAATATTTTAAATATGACTAGCCAAATAAGTTAATTAATTACTCAGATTAATGGAGAAAAAGTATTACCTTTGTCCTATAAAAACACTGCACACTAAAATAGTTTTAAAGTATCTGTATTCTGATGATCGTTACAAACTAATTTTTAAACAACATTCTGTTGCATTCCGTTGCACAAAGCGGAATTCGCGGGAAGCGAGAATTCTAAAAGCCATATGCCCAAAAAGTAAAGCTTGAGGTTATATGACATTGATAAGTATTTTAATTGTTTATATAATATTAAATTCTTATAAAATATTATTTAAATGTTTTTATAGTAGTATTTAATAATTAAATTGTGTATTCATGCTAATAACAAACACGAATAATGATTTTGAAAGATATTTTTTGCTTTACGGAATGATCGCTTAGCAACTGATAAACAATTCAAGTAATGACGTATTAGTTAAATGTTGGAATATCATCGACTGGTAACGGAAGACGGTACTGAATAATTTTATACTTCTTTTAATGAAAAATTGATGAAGAAATAGAAAAAAATCACAACGACACAGTATATTAACTATGAATTCGCAAGCGAATATTACAAATGATGCTTCTGGAGGAAAGCTTTCAGATTGGTAACTTAAAACTTAGGCAAGAGTTGAAAAAAAATACGTAATTTTGAAATATGTATATGTATGTATGTATATGTACATACACGTATTTTCCAAACACATATTACACCTATATTATACATGCGTGTGTGTGTTTACACCTATATGTATATGTGTGTAATATTTTTGCTTACTCTATCATTAGTATATGGTGCAAGAAAAGAAATTTATAATAATGTAAAAACATACATTTTCATTATCGAATAGCATTGACAGCAGTGAAAGTGAGAGAAACTTGTTTCCGTTCTCCTTTAAATGTTCATGTTAATAAACTGCAAGTATAAATTTCAAAAGCAAATACATCAGTTTATCATAAAGTAAGGCAGAATGAAGGGGAATAACACTAAAATAAAAAAAAAATTAGGTTTAAAAATTCATATCTCTTTGGCGACTAGAAGTTCATATTACGATTCTCAATGAAAGACTGAAGATAGCACAAACAGAAAGCATTTTTATATCTTCAAAACCAATTTTTTTGTTTATTTTTAATTTGACAACTGTTAATTCCGTAAAGTGTTCTATTTTGAAAAAATAACCCTAGGGTAAATTTAATCTTTCTGTAAAACAAAATATGGTCTATAATCTGTGAAATTGCTATAGTAAGCAATTACGTATGCAACGAGTTTTATTTTCAAAAACATTTGCTATGCCAAACTAGAACTTTTTATTTTATTTTCTTAGTTATTCATCAGAAAAGCATTCGGATAATAACGGAATGTCATTGACCTTTTAAAAAAGAGGTATGAAATTTCACTTTGAAGTACTTAAATATTGATAATTCAGAAATGTTATATATTTCAGTATAAATTTTTGTGTACATTGTGCGGTTAATCGAGACAGTTTATTAAAGTTTGGCTCGTGGACCAGTTACAGAACTTTCAATGCATGAAAGCCAAGAATGTTATTTTTAAAATTAAACTAAATAAAATTTCAGATTATTAATGATATTGGAACTAATTCAGTGTGTATTTTGAGAGAATATGACACCAGTTTGTATCCAGGAGCAAGAAGGTTCTGCTTAATTTTAGAAGATTAAAATTTTTTTTCTTGGTAGAATATTTGACCGTTACTTGAAAATGACGAACCTTTCTGACGTTCTCTCGAAATCCATGGATTGTTTTTAATAACATTAAAATAAGTCTAATGATTTGCATAGTATCATAAATATAGATTTTTATCTATTAAGAGTTAAATATTGATGAAAAATAACTTTGGTGCTTATCATAAAAACTGCATGTTTCTTCAGAATTACTTTTGAGATATAAATTTAATACATTTAAATAAAGAGCCACATAACATTTTAAAAACTTTCATAGACAGATTATAACAAAAGAAAAATTTGTTTTAAATTTAAATTACAATAATTGTGTGCAGTACCATGTCTTCGACAACTCCAAGTCCTTTATAATACATGTACGCCAGCATTAGCATAGCCCTTGCTTCACAATCTTCATACTTAAAGAGCAAGGCCAATGCTTTTCCATATCGACCCTGAAATATGAATGAATATTTTAAATATAAATATTCGTACCTGTTATCACAAATTAAGTATAATATAAGATCTGAAGCAATATATTGGAAGATTATAAACATCTTTTAAGAAATATTTAAACATCTTTAATTTGTCATTCATACAATTTAACACGCTGTTGATTATCAGACATGTTTCCCTTTGACGTATTTTAATCGTTAATAATTTTTGACGTAATTATCTTTCAATTAATGCAATGCATTGTTAATTTACATGAGAGATTTGAAAACAATACACGCTTTTAATAATTTTAATTTTTATATTGGTTTTAATATAATTTTAAATATGTTTATTTTAAGAACATTTAATTTATAACATATCTAACTAATAATTTTATAAACATTTGTGCTGTAGTTAATGTGAAATTTTTCTAACGCCATATATTGCGTATTAAAATACAGAATAATCGTTTGTACCCTTAATTAAAGTAATTTTTTTTGCGAATAATTTGCTTGGAATGGATTTTTGCCTTATTGAATAAGTATATATATATATGGTTTAAGGCTTCATATAAGAAGGAGCAAAAATTTTCAATTTAGTTCCGACATTTCCTTTTTGATATATATATATATATATTATATTGTTACAAATATGTAAATAATTTAATCAAATTACATGTGAAATTGCAGTACCTTTTGTGTAATGTTAACATGAAACATCTAAAGAGACGCAAATCTGCCGGAAAAGTAAGATTAAAGAGGAAATTCTATTTAACATTGAGGTAAATGGCTATTTTGCCAAGCTGGCGACTAAATTTGCCGTAAAGTTTGGCGAGAAATTTCCAAAAGTCGCCGAGCTTGGCGACCATTTGGTGACGTTTAGGTCTGGTCCATGTGTAACTATAATTATTACTCTAATTGAATAACTGTAATTGGTCCCCATATGTAACTGTAACCGTATGGCGCCCTTGTATGTAATTTTACCGTAAGCCTGGAGAGAACATCAGTGTCCAGGTTTTAGCTTAAAATTAGATGTTGGTGGGAGCTGCACTTTTTACATGAGTTTTTCATTGCATTCTGTTTAATATTCTTAGAAATCTGGAGTAGTAACTACTGATTATGCTCTCTTATACTGAGTATATTTGTAGGAATGGTTTTTTGAAAAGTTCCAGAACTACATTTCTTTTGATAAAATAAATCCTATCAAACTATCATCGGTTCTGTATGCATTTAATTCGTTACGAACCCATACGCATGCAGTTATCTTATATATATATATATATATATATGTGTGGTGTGTGTAATTCTGTAATATGTATTCTGAAAACTTAACGACTTGGAATGAAAGAAATAAGAGAGGAAAATTTATTTTTATTTCCAGAAATTCCTGAAAAACAATTCTCGAAAAGAAATACTTACAATATGATTCTTGGGAATGAGGCAAAGCTGAATTATTTAATACCATTAAATGTTTTACTATTGTGTTGTATAAAGTGAAAACCTGAATGCAAAGCACGTCGTTGTATTCCTAAAAGACCTTTTTCATCACATTGAGTACCATCCAAAATGAAAGTTTTTATTAAGTAATGTTTAGAACAACTCTCATCTGTTTTGCTTTAGAAAAAAATCTTACTTTTTTCATTTGGAAGCATCACAGTAGCTATCTTCTATAATGACAGACGTAATATAATATTCAAGTGTGTGTTCGCAAATTATTTCAGTGCCTCTCACAAGGCAGCTAGACTAACAAATGAATCCAGAATTTGAAAGCACATCAATATAGGGCCATTAAAAAATCTCCGATGTAGATGCATTGCAATGTGATCATCATTTTTGTGCAGTAGCGGAATATCTTAGAAAAGTAAATTTATTTCAGCAGTCTTCCGAAACACGCGCTTTAAAAACAGCCTTTTAAAAGTAGGTTTCAAAAGAAGTTAAAATATAGAGAGGTTTTTTGCAGGCTAGTTTTTGTAAAATAATATAGATGTAAGATTTAATTATGAAAAATTGATATAATCTTCACTTTTTTAGCATAGAGGGTATAAGCAAGATTTTACATATGTCCCTCTACAAATCCTAGAAATTGCTTTAAGCAGTATCATGCGCATTACTCATCGTTACGTAAATTTTTAGTTTATGTCGGTGAACGGAAAAGCACTTCTGGTGGTGCAAATCAGTGTTCTAAAATTTACCCGAGCCGTTGGAACTTCAGTTATTTCTACACGGCTGGAGATAACACTACGTGTGTGCTAATATGAGGTACGTCTGAGAAGTAGAATAACAAAAACTTCGACCTGATTGGAAAATTGCAGTTCTTCAGTCTGAGTGCCTTTAAGTAAGTTTGAATAATATGAGTTTCATGCGACATAAAGATTCTTTTATTTCTATTAGAAGTCCTGAGCCATTAGACATCAGCAATTATACAGTCTGTTAAGTTACAAATGAAAGGATATATAGTTATCAATTTACGTCTGTTTCTTATCAAAAATACCTGAGTAGCTACAAGATACAGAAAACTGAAACAGACAATACGGTAAGTAATATATGATCCAAATGCGTACAGGCACACATCGGTGATTGAAAATTCCGTCGCATACCACCAACAAAATGAAAATTGTCTAAAGAAGATGTAATCTGTAGAAATTCGAAACTTAAGAAAGGATAGGTGACGGAGGATGGGGACGTCTGATGATTAACATAGGTAGACAGGCGTGTGTCCCACGCCCTACCCTATCTAGGAACAACAACTCCCTGGGGCCCCGAGAGGCTGCCTCAGGAGTTTATATTACAGATCTGAAGATCAATACATGGCTAAACAGGGGCTGAGGATTATTGTTTGACAATGGTTACGTGACAATAGCTTTGTGGGTGTGCATGGCCGTTGGAATAACACAGATACATAAAAATATACAAAACAAATGCAAGAATAGATACATGTACAAACAAATACTAACAGATATGAACATAAAGATGCATCGATATTAAGAAAAATATTAAGAAAGGTACATATGTAAGATAGTAATACAAAAGTAAAATGCTAAAATACTAAAAACTGCTAAAATATAGAATGGGGTCAAGGGGTTCATATATGTATTGCTGGTGTCCTTGCGGTTGTAAGTGTGCTGTGAGTACTTAAACACAAAGATGAAGCAATGAGTACCGGATGTAGAGTTATAGTGCCAGGAGTTAGAGTTCGCTGATAGTACAGTCTGACTTGTGGGTGATGATAAAGCAGTGGTACGCATCTCTGTTCATGGTTGGACATGGGAGGTGATGGTCTTTGTCAGCTGGCAGGTGAAAAGATAGTGGTCTGGGTTGCCTGGGGTTCCACAGACGCATATATCTGTTGATGAGATGTTGTGCCTTTGGATGTAGCTGGGGAATGGGCCGTGTCCCGTGATATATCGAGTCAGCGGAGAGATTGCAATGTGTCGATCCGTGATGACTTTTGGGAGGAAATCGTATGTGCGGCGGCCAGTTATGATATTGTTCCATTCCTCCTGCCATTGTTGGAGCCCTTTACTCCGGAGCTGTCCTTTCAGGTAGGAGGCTGGGGCTTGAAGGTGGATCATCTGGTGGATTTGAGTGGGTTACTGCCTGGTTGGCTAAACGGTCTGCTGACTCATTGCCTTCGTTGCTGGCATGTGATTTTATTCACATCAGCCTCGTGTGCATATGTGAATGTTGCTGTAAGAGGTGCTGAAAAGGCGATGACTAGTGGGTAAGTGTGCTGATGGTTTTGGAGGGCTTGAAGTGTTGAGTAGCTGTCTGTATGAAGTGTGGCATGAGTTAGATCATTGTGAACAATGTGCTGCATTGCTGACGTGATGGCCAGGACCTTCGCTTGGAAGATGCTGTTGTGATTTTGCAAACGACCTTTCCATTCTTGTTCTATCAGGCCATCCTGGTAATGGATGTAGGCACTGCCTACACCTTCCTCCTGTTTAGAACCATCAGTAAAGATGTGCTGAAGGTACTTTGTGAAGGTACTTGCATTCCAGTGTTGGTAGGGGTGGGTGAAATGATGATAGAGATTTCTTTGCCTTTAATTGCCAGGTGTGTGTGGAGAGGGTGTCCAGGTGTTTAAAATTGGACTGGGCTGTAGGTGCTATTGTAAAATGTGACGTCTTTTTTGAAGTATATTAGAGTTGTACATGCCGCTTCCCAGCACGGATAACATGCGTTTTGCTGTAAAATACACTCTATAACAAAAAAATCGACGCGCCAAGAAGGAATCGTCCGATTGCTTTGAAATTTCGTATGTGTAAATTTTTTGACTAGAATGTAAATGATTAAAATTTAGGGTCCAATAAATAAATAGTGCGATCTCCAGCGCATTGGAACTGCGCATCCAGCAAATATATATAAAGAGCTGTTCTCGAACAGTTGTTAAAAATTTATGTTGCAATGTGATTTAGGATAAAATGCCTAGCCTATTTAGGATAAAAGCATGAAAAAATGCCTAGCCGCAGGATTCGAGCTCAGTACGAGCAATTGTCAGAGTTTGAAAGAGGTCGTATCATTGGATTGAAAGAGGCAGGTCGGGCAAAACGGGGAATCGTTCGTCATATGAGTCGAAGCGATACAGTGATTAGAAGATGCTGGCACGAATGGGTGGACAGCGGCAGATTTCAGCGCATGATGGTAGAGATCGACTTAGGGCCACAACAGATCAGGAGAACAGAGTGATTGTCAGACCAGCTGTCACAGTGCCTGATTCATTGCTATCAACTATCAGATATGCGACCCGCACACGAGTGTCCACCATAATCATTCACAGACGGCTGATACAGCGAAATTTACGCTCCTACTGACCGTTACGCCACCTGCCACTTATGCTCATGTTTGAACACTGTAGAGACAGATTACAGTGGTTCTTGGGTCGATCAGGTTGGAATGATGCTGACTGGGGACATATAGTCTTCATCGACGAATCTCGCTTCCAACAGTGTCGTGACCATCATCGAAGACTTGTCTGGAGATGCCCAGGGAAGCGTGCCAATCCTACTTTCACTATTGCACGCCACACAAGCCTTCATTCATGAGTTATGCTCTGGGGTGCTGTTTTCCTTGATATTTTTATATATATGCCAAATTTGGTCATTATTAGAGGCATACTTACAGCATAGCGGTACATGGACAACATTCTGAGACCTGTTTTGCTACCGTTCCTTTTTCAATACCCTAGCCTTATGTTTCAGCAAGAAAATGTCAGACCACATATGGCATGTGTTGCTATGAACTGTCTTATAGTTTGTCAAACACGTCCTTGACCAGCCAGATCTCTTTCCTATCAAGAATGTCTGGGATATGATAGGAAGGCGACTGCATCTACCATGGAATATTGAAGACCTAGCCGACAATTGGAGCAAATTTGGCAAGAAATACAGCAAGAGACTATCCAGGAACTTTGTCAGTCTATGCCACGCCGTGTGGCAGCTTGAATTCAAGTTAGAGGTGGGTCAACACCTTATTGAGCTCGTTACGTTGTAACTTCATAACTCTGAAATAAATCATTCAATTGTTCTGAAATTTTAATCATTTCTATTCTGTACATAATTTTCCTATACACAAAATTTTGTTTCCATCGTACAACTCCTTCTTGATGCGTCGAGGTTTTTGTTATAGAGTGTATATTAAAGTCGTGAAGAATATTTTTAAACATGCCTAGGAATAAATAATGTAAATTAGATTTTCAGAATTTCGTCTGCTTATGTTTTGCTAACTTATCCTTAATCTAGGGACTTTTTTAATAATATTTGTAGAACACCATAATTACTTATCTTTATACATAGCTCAGAGAAAGCTATTTTTAAAAGGAATTTAAAATATCGCAATTAAAGAAGCGCAAGAGCAGTTGTTTTAAGAAATAAACATGGAGGCTGAAAAGGCAGGTATTTTGCTACTTTCCATTTTTAATCAGAAAAAAAAATCATTCAAATTTTTTCAGCTTACTGAAATTTTAGCTACATTAAAATATATGCGAAAAATAAAAGTTCAGAACTTTTGGATTTCTCTTGAGTAATTTATTTGCATGATATTACCAATAACTCTTGATCCGTTAATGACCATTCACAACACATTCCCAATTACTTTAGTGACATACTACGTTATCTTCAAATTACATCAGTAATAGCCCCGCATCTCAGTATTCTACGGCAGTGATATTTCTTCATACATTAATTTATTACCAAATTTATAGAGTCCCATAGGATGAAATTCTTTTGCATTTCACATTCAGTATATTTACCAAGGAATTTTTATAACTTGCATTTTAGAAAGGATCTTCATTATGTTCAGCTACACTTTTACTATGGAAAAAAGTACCATAGATCTCGCAAGTCCGGGTTAAATTTTCGCAGAAAGCTTGAATACTTGTGTTAGTGACTTTCCTGCCTGGCAGCACTTAAAATACTATACAGCCTAAGCCAACTGCAGGTCCTCGCCACGATAAATAATATCATCAACTAGATCTAGTGTTATTTCCTCATAACCTCATGATACTTATTATTAGATCTGGTGTTTCTAGTGTTATTTTAAGTGAAATAAGTTACAATAAAAAAAAAAAAAAAAAAAAAAAAAAAAAAAAAAAAACAGTACATTTGATGTACTTCCGGTGGTATGAGAATGCATTCTGCTTTAGTAATACTGTAAGAAGTTTTCATACTGTAAAAAGAAATGAAAGACTGATCTTGAAGACAATTTTCTACAAATTATATAACTGGTCAATCCAGATATCTTCGATGCTAGAAGGTAATACATCTACAGACGAAGTCCTTACATTAAAGAACATTGATTTGAATGCCGTGTAAAGAAGCGTCAAAGTTTTACATTAAACCATATAAAAACAGGCATTTATTCCAGTCAAAGTTAACAGTTTCTAAGAAATTTATTAGCCTTTGTAACCTGAGATAATTATGATTGCAACTTACTTCATGCAAGTAATGTTCAGCGGCTGTAACTGCTTTCCATGATTTTTTACACTTAGTCGATGAGTAATTAGGTTGTTCGGCGACAGGAGGTTTCACTTTTGTTGCCATATTGAAACTTCTGTAAAAAATATGCAAAGATGTTACAGTATATGTGTGAAATCATTTTAGTTACTTCGTACAAAAAATATTCATATTTTTAAATAAGTGTTATGCATCTAATTCAAGCTGTAGTAGGTAGAGAAATTCCAGAATTTCTTTATATTGCAAGCCAGCAAGAAATGACGCTGAAGTTGTGCACAAAATGGCTTAATTCAACTTTACTACTAAGAGTTTCAAATGTAAACAAATAGCATCCACATTAGGCCTGGCGCCACTTTTAAATTGTTAATAATACTAGAACTATTGCATGCAGATTAATTAAGGACACAAAAATCTCAACTGGAACTTGAGAACAACTTGCTTTAATCACATCCAAAGCAAAAAATGCACAATTTACCAACACATAACAATAAAAATAACAGTGGTCGCCGAGCCTAGTAAGACGGTGCGCATATATACATATATACAGGGTGTTGCCAAATTGTTTTTACAAATTAAGAGGGGTGACAGTACCCATCCAGATGAGCAATAATTACCATAGAGCATACGGTCGCATTCCACTCTGAGAGGCAGTAAAAAGGAATATTAGAATTCCAACCTGAACTATCAACAGTGTTGGGAAGGCGAATGAATGAGACCAAAATTTGTAATCAGGTTTTTTGTTTAGTGAAAAACTCACAGAAAGTGCTCAAAATGCCGACCATGTGTGTCATTGCACAGTTGACATCGGCGAAGGAACAACTGGCGCACCTTCTAGAAAATTCCTGGTGTCGTATTAATTTTGTCCGAGGCAACAATGATGCTAGCCCGAGATCTTCAGATGAGTCCACAGGCGTCTCTTACACTAAAGATTTCATGTGCTCACAAAAGAAAGAGTCCAGTGGGTTCAGGTCTGGTGAGTGAAGCGGCCAAGCCACAGGTCCGCTATGTCCGATCATTCGTGCGGGATATGTGGCATTCAAAAAATTACAGATCGTGACAAAAAAATGTGCTGGAGCTCCATCGTGCATAAACCACTTGTCTCTCTGGATGGAAAGCGGAACAGCCTTCAATAAATTGGGAGGCACTTGTTTCAAGAAGATATGGTACTTTGCGCCGGTCAAACGGTCTAGCACGATGTAAGAGCTTACCAGGTAATCACTTAGGATACCTGCCCAATCGTTCAGGGAAAACTTCTGCTGGTGTTGCAGTGGGGATTGCTGTCAGACCAAACGTGTTGATTGTGAAAGTTGAAAATGCCTTCTCTGGTGAATGTTGCCTCATCACTAAATATTAATGCAGGAAATCGTGGATCATTATTCCTCATGCCGAGCATCCACTGCGAACATCCTACATTGCTCTTTGAGATGGCAAAAGAACCGGTTTCTCGCAACGATGTTATCAAGGTAATACTGGACGCGATGATATGCCATTTTCAAGGACACCATTTGCTCTGATTGGCTTTCTTCGGTACCAACTAAGAGCAAAATGCTGCTCCTTCTCAGTGCGAATTTGCATAGGAATAATTCTTGAGAGTCTTAGGAGATAGTCTCCTTGTTCTTCTATGCGTTCCCTCTTTTCTGCCTCTCACAGTGGAATGCGACCCTATGTTCTATGGTAATTATTGCTCGTCTGGATGGGTACTATCACCCCTCTTAATGTAAAAACAATTTAGAATCACCCTCTATATGTTAGATGCGGCCAATAGCAACAAAAACAGAGTTGCACAACTAGATGTTATAACAGTCACATATACAAAATTTCAGTGTTGTTTTTGATGCTAATTGTTTTTGAGTTCTACGGCTAGTTGTTTTTGAGTTATTTTTTCTTGACGCCTATATCTGAATCTATTTTAAATTCATTTTACAATCTATTTTTGAAAAAAGAGTCCTTTATTGTAGTCCATACTACAGATGTCATGCAAAACACCGTTCAAAAGGATTCTAGTAGTGAAGATGTTCAAAAGGATTCTAGTAGTGAAGGAGTAGTGAAGATGGATATTTTCTATGAAATATGATACCCGAAATTTTTTGCGATTGTCATATTTGCTTTACTCCGTACGATTAAGTATAAAAGGTATGATCCCCTCTAACAGATATACATATCGCACAGCTAATTGCTATGCTGTTAACGAAACAGCTGATGACGCAAAGGAGTTTTCCACTACGGGATAATTCTCAGAGGCAATAAACGAATTGCAGTTGTCATTCCATGTGTATCCCAACCGTTCAATCTGCTTCAAGTCTGGAGATCTCTCTTGCCAATCCATCCACCAAATAATTTCTCTTAAAAATATTTATTGACCATCTGAATCTTGTATGGATGAGAATTATTGATTATAAGGACGAAGAAATGCCAACTACACTAATGAAAATTAAAACAAGAGGATGTAAGACGTCCTCTGTATCCATCTTAGCAGTCAGAAAGCTTCTATGCAGGGAGTAGTATGCAGCCATCCGACATGATGCTTATCCGAACAATGACACCTCCACCACCATAATGGTCTTTTCCCCTAATGTTCAAGATATGCTATTAAGTTCCAGACTTTTCCAAAATAAGTAAAACATCAATGTTTAAATTGAATTTAGACTCATCATTGAAAAAAAATTGATGTGATTATCCCATATAGCGATGTGTTGAAGTTGTATAAAAGTTTACGAAGTTGTATAAAAGTTCTTCCTGTAATTTTATTACGTAGTTTCTAGCCAAGGAAAAAAAATTGTGTTCAGGGAGTTGTTGCGCATAGGTACTCGGAATATTTTACAAAGCCGGGAACTGTTTCGTCTGCAATTCTATTTCATACAGAAGAGGAAGAACAGAATATACTCTGGGAGGTTCACGTATTAAATCAATCAGATTTTCTGGAACAGAAGAATCCCAGAAATATTTCTTTTCACAGCGGTTGAAAGTAACTGCAGATTTAATAACGTTTTTAGGTCCAATGCAGCTGGGTTCAAGGCTGATGTTCTCTGCTGCGCGTCAAATTCTCTCTCTTGCGTTAGGGAGTCAACGATTCGGGACAACGGATGTTCTGGTTGAATACCTTCTGTAATGAAGCTTTTTAGCAGTAACTCTTAAACTAAGGTTCCAGTGGCAACAGAGAAATTAGGAGCTGCTTGTCTTTAGTAGTTTTGACACTGGCAAAGTGCTAAATACCAATTATTACTGTGCAACGTGCCTCATGGATGCAATTGCACAGGTTTTCTGAATACGATTCGGTCACCTGAAACTGGGTCCGCAAACTGCAGACGACATAAGGCATTGCACAGAGACAGCTTGTTTGCAGTCTCAGCTTAAGATTGTCCACCGATCTAGACTACTAACAATTATCTATCTGATTCTATCATTTAAATATTGGTGATTGCTCCTTCTACTTTACTATTTATGAAATTTGACAAAATTTTATAATAAACGCTATGATTATCTTCGATTCTTACGAATAAACTGGCAGAGAAATGAAAAACTAACCCCTTTTAACCCAAACTACCTGTCGAATACTTAAAGTATGTACTGAACACAGATGATACTACATTATTTGATCTCATACTTTTCCAGCTTTGGCTCAGTATTTATTTTAGAAATTCGTACAGTGCGTACATTCTCACAGTTGAGCATACGACGCCATATACAGTTTTAAAAATAATACACATTATTTTTAGTATAACAACATAAGGTTTTATATGGTAAATAACATAGAATTAATAAATACAGTATATAGAATATAATAAATATAGCATCTGTCATATACGTATAATAATTATAATTATAGAATAAATATGCAATAAGGGTTAGAAATAATAGTAATTCACATAAGTAATAATAACAATATAATAATAAGAATGAATAGTTAAGGTAGACAGCAGCAATTCATTTAGTGCGCTCAACATTCTGTATGATTCTTTACTGTATAGTGGAGTCTAATAGTTCCTTAATATCCAAGCGTCGAATAAAATAATAAGTAGTAGCTGTATAAGGTGCGTGCATACAGTGGAAAGTGCGATTTAACGTGAATCTTCAGCGCAACAGAGCAAGGTTGAAAGAAGTGGCCATGCGAATGTGAGGCGGGTTTAGTTGCTCTTTTGTCTATGTGTGGACCGAACATCGAGCTGGAGGGATGTTGGGAAGTCGTGCACACTCTGCCCGGATTGCTCAACTGTAGACTCTTGCGTGAAATGGTACGAATTTACAAAACCTTATGCCGGGGGAACAGAAACGAACAGATTACGCGGGCGCACCAGTGTGGTAGCCTATTCTTAATACGAGCATTACAATACACAAAAATATGTACTTGCCACACACGGTTCGCCGTGCAGTGGGGCGTCGTTTCTTGCGCAGTGAGATGTTAACACAGCGAGTGGTGCTGACACCGGTATTCCATCAATTCGTAGGGATGACTGTTGTGATTTGTTCAAAGTGGCCGCACATACGAAATTCCGACCGGATCAAAGAGTAAAATGCGTGACGTCAGGGTGGCCACTGGATGCCTCCGGTGGGGGCGACCACAGAGGTGGGCGGGGGTGGGTCGGGGTGGCGTATGGGAAACCAAAGTGTTACGGAGGCGTAGGTTGCATGCTCTGAAGAGTGTGTGTACTTGGGCAGGTGGACACTGCGGTACTGGGTGCCCCAAGCGGACAGTCGTGGCATAGGCACGACTGACACGGCTCAGGCTCCACAGTTGTCAAACTACGAGGTGTAGCAGTAGAATAACAGTAAGCATCACTGATATATCAGCGGCGCGAAAAGGACGATAGACCCGTCTCAGGTCAGGAGAAGGGGGGGTGCAATAACCCGGGATGACACCCGCACTAGGCGACAGTGGCCACTGACAGCAGCATACAACAGATAATACAAACGGGCTACTCCGAAGAACAACGCTAGCAGCAGAAAAGACTTGTTGTCAGGCTCTAACTACACAATCAAGTGTTAGTAGCGAGAAACGGTAAGGGTAAATCTGAACGGTTCAATTGGCCGAATCGAACGGCGTGCATCCCAGGGTACAACCTACCAAGCGTCCCGGCGTGGGCGCGCAGGCGCGCAAAGGCAGGGACCGCAGGTCATACAACCAGTACCTGGACAATGGCACATAAGACTTCAAGCACGGACACACTGGGATACACATACACCAATCAGTTGTGCAGAGAGCAGATGTACACGACAACAGTGCCTGGATGGGTTAAGACCAGTCACAGCACTCCCTCTCGGACATTGGGCGACTCTCCACACAGTAGCCCTTATCAAGATAAACTGCGATCCAGATGGTTCGTTGCGGACAAGAACCAGCAGGGAAGACACGGCGGACAGTCGGGCAGGGAAAGTGCGGACAGAGGAAGGCAAGGGACATGTAGCGCCGGCGTAAGTGACTCAAATGACGGTACGAAGAATCCCGCTAAAGTGGGGGAACGAAAATGGTCGTGCAGGAAATTGGTGTATGCAATGAAGAGGGCTATGGGGAAAGGGTACGGAAAAGGTCGTGGCGATGGAGGGCGCGGACGCTACTGAGTCCCGGAGTAGGCGTAAAAAGGGCCGGGCGCTCACACACAGAGCGGGACAGGGGGGGGGAAAACCGACCTGATACTGAGCGATAGTGCGGCGGGTCCTCAAGTTCGGAAGTAGATATCAGGACCTCAGGGGGCCTAGTCCTGTGACTACAGTCCGTTACACATACATGTGAGTGTGAGCTGGCAATGTGGCTGGACGACGCGCGGGCGGTGCACAAAGTTTTCAGTCTGTGAACTTGTTGGCGTGGGTGCGAAAAGTGGCGTCGCCAGAGAAGGACGAAGTGGCAAAACAAAGTGATCCCTGACGGAATGACAGCGGTACGTAACCTACAAGGATCATATGTAAAGGCGATAAGTGGTGACGTTAGTCATGACATAGTACAGCGATCCATGATGTCGCACAGGGGGGAGAGGGCTGCAGAGGGGCTCGCACAGGGCGGGGGGAGAAAGGGAAGACGACGTGGGCTGGCGAAAGAAAGGAGAGACTGTGTAGGGAGCTGAAAAAGGGGGGCCAAGGAAGGCGAACTGCGGGCAAGAGTGCGAGTGAGGGGGGAGAGGAGTTAGCAATCGAGGGGAGTGGTAAAGCGCGAATCAGCGTAAAGGATATCTCGAAACAGGTCAAAGGAAATTACTACGATCGGGAAACATCGTGCACACGGTCGAGAAAGACAACCGTAATGTACAAACAGACAGGGTGACACGGGGCACGGTAATATCTACAAGAGGGGGGACAAGATGATGGAACACAGGGGGCAGAGGAGGAAAACTGGCGTAGGGCTGAGTGGTGGAAATTATGGTAAGCAATGTAAAGCATGACAAAGGAAAAGCGGGACGGCACAAAGGCATCCGAGAAGACCCCGAAAAAACGGCGGGGGGCGCTACCGGGGAATGACGCACGCAGCCGGGCATTAGGTGACACGCGAGAGACATGTATGGGAGACCGACCTGGATAGGAACGCTCCGTCGCCAGGAGAGGCCAAGTAACAAAGTGAGCAGTCCCTGCAGGGGGGCGGGACCGAACCCGCGGTCTGGGACAGGGTGCAAGACGGGAGTGACATAAACAGTATCAACGGGGGCACGGTCATACGTGGTGGTTTAGGTGGGGAGGGAGTCGCAACACAAGGTCGGGTCAGCATGGTTGCGAACATAAATATCTTCGGGGGTACAGACTGGTATGCGATGGGGTGGGGGATAGGTGGTGGTGTGCCCACGACGATATGAGATACGCGGTAAGTGGCATGGTGTTCTTGAGAGGCCGGAAACAGATGTGCGCTCGGGGAGGCCCCATACGCGGGTTGCAGCCGGTACTAGACCCACAGAGCCTCTCGAATTCACAAAAGGATGATAAAAGTACTTCAACCGCGGCGGACAACGGTGCTTAGACCGGCCACCACCAAATATGGGGAGTAGCGACCAGATCTAAAGCGGGAAAATACCCCGGAAGGGGGTACACTGTAAGTATTTACTCGGAAGAACCTTTATGAAGGGCCGCGCCTGTCTGGGATATATGTAGAATGTGTGGCCAACCAAACAATAAGCCAAAATCCGGGTGCATGAAGGAAGCATCATTCCCCACCTTTTATGCGGGCGCCACGGTAGATTACTATTTTGGGTGTATTCTTCATTGTGACAAGAATAGGCATTGGTATTCAGGGAAAAATGAGGCAATGCAGGCTCGAACCACGACGGGACTCGAACCACGGTCCTCTTGAATCCTTGTCGAGTGTGCTGACCATTACACCACGAAGGCATGCTAAAAAGGCGGGAGAAATGACTTATAATGTTCTAAACTACTCTCAAGTAGACTTTGTTTCTGTTATATATTTCTAATTTGTGTTATCATTAAGCTGATGTTTTAATTAATAAGTTTTTATTTTAAAACTTCACCCTGAGTCTATGATTCCTGCAGTTAGAAGTTAGTCGATTATCTTTAGACTTTCGGTGGATTCTTCACTTTAAATTAAGATGACTCAGATATAATGGTAAAAAACTTTAATGTACACTTTAATGATGACTTTAAAGCAGTTAATCTCCAAAAGAAAGAAGTATTAGCATTTAAGAGAAAAATAAAAAATAAAAAACTTATTTCTGTCAAGATAGAAATTTCACATTTTAAATGATTAATTTACCGAAAGAATTTGTGGTGGATTTTTTTCAAGGTTATTTAGATTCATATTTATTCAACACTTATGCAGATAAGGTTCTTCGTAGCAAAAAAAAAAAAAAAAAATCTTGTTTGCTGATGATGTAGCTATTCTAACCGAAAAGTCCCCCCCCCCTGCCAGCCGATACGTTGTTCATGACGCTGACTGCCGTACCACTGGACTCGGGCTCAAATAGCTTATAGTATCCGTGTGGCAAAGGTGCATCAAACCACACGGCGAGCCGAAAGTCCTTTCGAGAGATTAGTGGTAAGGGAAGAAGGGTGGTAGACTATCGGACCGCTACCCAAGGTATCTCCTCTCAAATATGGGTGGAAACGTAGTAATTATCAAGTTCAGGAATACTCAGTTACCTGTCGTGCTACATAGGTGCTGGCCTTTGTACCTGTACTCTTACCGAATTTCAAATATAAATGCTATTCAAAATCAATGGAAATAACTTTTAGGAAACCCTGAATATATCAAATGACACAAAGCTCTCAGAAAGAATCGAATGAAAAATGAAACAACGTATTTTGGTATTACCTAAGATAATAAACTTAACTTTCAGATAACATTTTGAAAAGTTTATTAAAAAAGTAAACTTCGATTACCAGCATTTAAAGTTATTATTAAGCAGAATAAAAGATCTAGATAATTCAAAATAAAGCTTTCTAAAAGAGCTTTTTTAGCGTTCCTTGGTACATAAAAGACACAGCAATGCACTATATGACTTCAAACTCTGTAGCATTACATAATTTATTCAAAATGCAGCTGTTTGAAAGTTTATGCATAAACGCGTAAGAAACGTGAAAATATACTTCTCAAAGTCAAAACGTAATCAATTCCTCTTCATCTACATCCCGTCAATACACTTTACAAAAATATGCAGTATTATATTCCATTAATTTATGTTCAAGTTTCAATGCTACATTTTTTTATGTTAAACTATAAATCTTCAGCAAGACATTGCAGTACTCTGTATTTACCTCTTTTTATGATATTCTGTGTTATCGGGATCTGATTCAGAAATACATATATGTGTTTATGTGTGTATGTGTGTTTGTATGCATGTGGGTGTATGCACACATATACATACGTACGTACACATATACATGCATGCATGAACACATCCATTCAGCGATACATGTATTCATACATCCGGTCCCGATAACAGAAAAGGTACCACATGCGTTATCTCCCACTTTCTCCGCAGTCTGTATAAAAATTAAACAAGTTGCTAAATAAAATAAAATAAAGGGAGAATTTAACCCTCCGCTATTTTTGAAAAAAGGTATGATTAGAGATTTAGGTCAAACTGTCTGCCGAAAATAGGAAATACAAATTTTTTGGATTTTAAAATTAAAAACCTGCGTATATTAATATAATAAAATAAAACATCTCTTGGTCCGTATACTAGGATTTTACCCTACCGCTAATTTAATGTTCCCATGCTTCCAGAGTTAGTGTTATTTTCAAAATAAAAGAAAGAAGAGACGCGCATCACGGAGAGTTTTTTATAACTCATTAAAATCCGAACTCTAAAGTGACCTTAATTTCAAATGAAAAGACCCTGAGAAATTACTAGCTATATTTTTATAGTTATTAATAGTAAGATTTTAAGTTTTGAAATAATTCTGAGAGTAAACGCTATATTTTTCAGATTATTATTATTCTTTTATCTACATTATTTGCGAAATCTATGCATAATCTATGCTATATTTCAGCAGTACCTGTTATACATTACGTGCTATTATCTGCGTTTTAGTTCGTTTGTCAGAAATTTGCTGCAAGTAAAAAATACTTTGCTTTAAGAGTTCGAAAATAAAAATTATACACTAAATACTTGATAAGTTATGCTTCAAAAGAAAAAGAACGCAGCGTTTTTATTCTATGTAATAATATCGAAAGGAACTTACGTTAGTTCATTGGTAAACTTTACAATCTACATCAAAAGCATTTCATCGAATTTTCCACTCTAAATCCTTCATTGCAAAATATTAAATAACTCTAAACGAGCTTTTAAATCTACAAACGTATTTACAAACATTGCTTTCTTAAATTTTTCCCTTCGTAAAATTATTCTGAATGATTTAAAATACTCAATTAACTGTTGCCAGTGAGAAAGATTAAATTACTTAATTTTAAGGCTAAAATATTGATTGTGCTTAATAACAAAAATATTTTTATTAATTATATGATTTTCAAATTGCCTAAAGTTAAGTTATTATTAATTTTACTTTTTTCCCAAAAATGAATATTTAAATTATTGTAATCGGAAGCTGAGTTTTTGATTTAAAGCAAGGGAGCAAGTGAAGTTAAATTAAAATTAAAATTTCTTAGCTACAGTATTTTGAATTATGTGGATACAAACTTTAATATATCCCGAAACATTATTACTACAAGTATGTTTGATATACAGAAAATAGTCTCATACATAAAACTTCAATCAAATTTACCTTTTTGTTAAGTTTCAATTAATTTAATATTCAACTACAGCTATCCAAATGACAATATTTAAAAAAAATTCGGGATTTTTAATCGTTATAATTTAATAATATAAATGACATACTAATGCATTCAAAGTCATGATCCTGTTTATAAATATAAATCTAAACGTGCTTGTATTTAGAAAGCATGTGAACTCTATGTGTTACATTTTCATTTAAGTAAAATATTAAATCCCATTTATTAACAGGCACATGCATTTATTAATGCCAAAAATATCTAATTTCATATTACAAGACATCTACAACGTTGAAACCTTTTTTTCGTAAGCAACAATCTTGAGATGTCAGAGAAATGCACTATGTAATATTAAATTGGTTATAGTTAAATATGCAACATTTCCCTTTTTATGACAAAGAAAACAATAAAATGTAATTCTTTAATCGAAATGTTTATTTTGAAGTTCTTCTTGATACGTAAACAATTCTCTGAATATTTGAGCTAGAACACCTTGTAGTATGATTTAATTGGTATTTTTTGAGCTATTATGATCTCCTTTTTGACAGCCCAGACAGGATAGTTCTGTATTTTAATCTCTAGTCTAAACTAGTCAGAATATCTTGATAGCTTTAATATAGAAACACAAACTTGAACTGAACAATTAAAATCTGACATATACCATTATCTAAGATAATTATGAGTTTTCTTAAAATATTGTAGATATCTGAAGAAAATTTGTTAAAGCGTTTTTCTTCTTGTACGATAAAAATGTTTTACCAAACTTCCCTACTGAAATAAGAAATCTGATCGGTACACCACATGAATTCCTTACACGGAATATTAAATTACACGCATTTTTCCTGAATTTCATTTAAACTTATTGAAATGAATTACATCTACTTCGTCAATAGAGTATAAACCACAATAGAATAAATGAACTCTTTAAAATTCACCATATCGATTTACCACATCGAAATTCTGCCGTTAGGTTCACTTAACAGCATTACGGCTTTACAGCATTACTTATTCATTTTATAACTCAGAATTCGCAAAAATTATATCATCTAAAGAATTGTCTAATCGTTGCCACATGTACTATTCAAATACTATAATAAATCTAAAACGATGTATAAAAAACATTGGAAAAATAAAAAAAAACAGTTGTTGTTGCGAAGATTAGTTACTTTAGATTGGCAACAAATCCACTATTCTGCTAAGTTTTAAATATAAACAAATATGGCTGCTACGGTAAAAAAAATTAGGCTTGCGCACTTTAAACAACTTTTAAATTGTTTGACATGTACAATTATTGCATCCGTAATAAAGGCTGAACCCTTACCGGAAGATAAGAACAACATAATTCAATCATTGTTAAGCAAAAAAAATCAATTCACACATATAAGAATAAAACTGAGCTCACGACCGATTAATTTCGTGCGGCCGATTGCCACAAATGGAAGTACCAACTACACTCGTACATCGTCGTTTACAAATATATAGATTATTGGAAGGTTTATGCATTCTAAGAATGATGTGGACACCACACGACTCTACGGACTATTAATTATACAATTTTTTTCCTGAATATTTTAAAACTTTTTCATCGACGTATTTAAAATTTCCAAAATATTATATATATATATATATAAGCCCACCAGCGGCCGAGCGGTAAAGTCGCTGAACACTGGTAGTTCGGTCCGAGGTTCGAATCCCGCGAACGGGCTGGCTGCATGGGTGTTTTCATGGTTTTCCTCATGTGTAACGTGTATACGAGCCAGTTTCCCTTAGAAAGTCCTCCACGAAGGCATCCCTCCCCTTAGGCAGGTAGCCCTAGTGTGCTTTGCCATAATTAAAATACACCATAATACACCAAAATATTATAAGGTATTTTCTCCTTTCCTTCCGCATGCCTTCGTGATGTGATTGGAAGGATACTCGATTCGTATTCGAGAGGTCCAGGGTTCGAGTTCCGGCGAGGGCATTGCAGATTTTTCACGTCTTAAAAAAATCTAATACTCTACAAGGGACCCCCGATCTAAAAGGTGGAGGACGATAATTCGTCACCAACAGGATTTGGAGATTGGGTACCTTATACCCTAAATCGCCCTTTAAAAGGAGTGTAATAAGGTATTTTTTTCGCATGCTTCGTGGTTAATTGGAAGCATACTCGACACGTATTCGAGAGGTGCAGGGTTAGACGACACTGCACATTTTTTACATCTCCTGCTTCAAGAAAATCTAATGACTCTGCAATATAAGTATAGGAACTTCGCGATCGCATTAGAAATTAGATTTCGTTATTTGATGAAAATTATTTTTTTAAAGTTTGGTATTCGGAAAAATGAATATATTCATCATTTAACATACTTAGGAAGTATATGACTACGATCAGCGATTGCGAAAATGAAAACCACGTAAGGACTTTAAAACGGCTAAAGTGTTAGTGTATTTCAACGTTCTTTACAGCTAATGTATGCATACGTTGTATGTACGCACGTACGTTGTATGCGCTTAAAATAAAAAGGGAACAGTTCTATATCTCCCGTTCTACTGAGCCGATTCAAGAAATTCAACTTTCGTTTTTCATGTTTCAAAAGTTTTTCATGTTTTTCATGTTTCATGTTTCAAAAGCACGACTTAGGATTTGTGTTAGATTTATATATAGCGTCGTTCTAATATAGATATTTTGACACAAAATGACTTTATCTGAAATGACATGCAAATGTTTTTTTATATTTTGATTCTACCACTCAAGTTACACCAAACTGTCAAGATTTGTAAAAATCGCACAGGTAGATTTATAAAAATGAGATCTCAAAATTTTAGCTCCTCAATGTTAATTGAGTTTGGTATATATTTATTAATATCTCTTTTTTTTTTATTAAACTTATTTGATTTTTCCTTTCACATTTCAAAATTTAGGTTATTTCCAAATAATATTCGCCCATTTTTTATGATTTATTTTTAAAATTTGTATTTTTAAATAATTTTTATAACTTTTTCCAAAAAAATTTGGAATTATAATCTGTAAAACTTTTACCATCATCTTAAAGTAGATATATTTCTAAGCATATCTGCAAAAAATTAGAGTTTTTTATTCAAAATTTCTGAAGATATACATGAATTTATATATTTGCACGTTTTAAAATGTGGCGTTATGCGATACGCGTTTGTCGTTATGCGATGGCGTTTGTCGAAAGCGATAATAACATTAAATGTGGTTTCGGCACTTTGTTCAAATTATTTGAATGTAGAAACGATGTGATTTTTTTTTTCCGCTCCTGCACAATGGAAAGGAAAGGAATATAGGTTGCCATATATTAAGAAGTTCGCCAAGTGAATTATCCTTGGCGCAAACTCAAAAAAAAAAAAAAAAAAAAAAAAATGCACCAAGTTAATTTTTTTGATTTCTCTGTAAATTTCGCACCAAATTTTACAAAATATAATATTTAAGCATAATTTGAATCGTAGAATCGAAATATGGAAAAAAAAGTGGTATGTTATTTCAGAAAAAGTCCCATGTTGTGTCAAAATAGTTATCTTAGAACAATGCTATATCTAAATCTAATATATATACTAAGTCGCGCTTTCGGGACATGAAAAACGCAATTTGAATTTCGTCAATCGGCCCAGTAGAACGGGAGATATAGAACTGTCCTTCCCCCCCCCCGCAGTTCACATACACATGTCACGAAAAAGGTCTATTTGGAATATATTTTCAATCCATTTTACAATTCGTTTTCGAGGAATAGGTCTTTTATTATGTCCGTACGTGCAGACATCATGCATCGTCCAGATGGATTCGAAGAACGGTCAGAGAGGATATTTCTGTTAAAATATGATACCCCAAAGGTTTTTTGATTGCAATATTTCCTTTACTTTGTACAGTGTGTTAAAATGTAAAAAAAAGTTTTGATTTCTGGAAGGCATAAATTGACCGAGATATTTAATTTTAAAATTCGAGGTACTTTTTTCTGAAAATTTAGAAGTTGTGTACGAACTGAAGAGAAAAGTATATAAATTTATTTATGTAACTAAAAAGGAAACATGAGTTTAGAAAAAAAGCTTCCTATCTCAATAGATTACATGACGAACATTCATATGCAGACTGTCATCATAAGTTTTTATCAATGCAAAATGTTTCGAAAAGCAACTGTTACTCACAGAATCTTAAAAAAATTATACTGCAGGAAAATTGTAAGCTTCAAATGTTGACACATAGCTCAATAATAGCATTGTGTGCATTAAGTAAAAATAAAAAAAATATTTCTAGCCCAATGAATTTTTTTGCATAATTCTTAGATTGTGATCCTAAAATAATAAAAGTGCATGTTAATATAATAAACATATTGCTAGCGTTTGAAATTTTATAAATTACTTGTGTGAAAACACTTTTGGAATACCAAATGCTACAAAATTAAAAATTAAGTTATGGGACACATATTACACATTATTACAGATATTTTTATGTACCACATTGTTACACATATCAGTTTTTATATCCGATGCACGCGTAGTAATTTTATGTTACACGTAGCAGTTTACTTTTAATGCCGAGTGGCATTAAAAGGAAAAAATAACAGCCTCGAATCTATTTTCTTATTATCTATTTTT